CGCAGGGCCTCTTAAGTTTGCTGATTTCATTAACAACTCTCTTTTTCTGTTCATTTGTCCACTTTACTGAGTACCTGGTCTTAGATGGCCTAGAATATAGAATCGTTAACGTTGAGTTGACAAACTCCTCATAACAGGTGACATTAAGATAGTCGCATAATTTATGCAGAGTTTCCCTCGGCTTTGCTATCGTGTCGCGGCTGTAAACATCAAGGATTGGATACTTGGACATCTCGTGAAGCTTTTGGACTGTCCGAGCATGGTTGAAGTATCTTTGGATGCAGAAGTCCAAGGCCTTGGCATTGGGTTCCTGGAAAAAGTGAAATAGGATATAGTTTGTCAGCTAAACACAAGTGAACTTCTCACATTTGGGTGGAGGAAAAATACAAAAAGATAGTCTCCTTTCTGATTTATAAAACGTAAGAACCAGGTAGACAATCCCCAGTTCGTACGTCGAGTTTCACAATAACAGTGAAACCTTCCTTACGTATACTCCGTTAACATGGTCACCTCTTTACTACGTACGGCCACTTTATCCTGGCCTGAACATGCGTACAAAAGTTAAGTCCATTTGCTCCTTGTTTGAAAAGAAGCCTAAAGAATTAAACAAACAAACAAATAAACAAACAAACATACAAAAGAAAAAAAAAACTTGTTTGGCTGTTGGCGTTGGCTATTCTGTCACAGCACTGTAGAAGCTTAACGAGGCCATTGCCGTAACAACGCTGTTATTAGCTACGTGAATCAAAGCGGCCGTTGTGATGAAGGTTACACTTAGTGCAGCTCGGTCCTAGCTATATAGTATAAAGTATAAAGGGGGGATAGGGGGAGGGGTAATGTAAACCAAAAAAATATATATACAATTTTGAATTTACCAAACAAGCTACTTGATAATTGGCTTACTTTGTTTCTTACTAACTGATCTTGCACCGCTGGATATTTTTTGCATATTGTAGCGATGTTGCCGAACGGGTTTCTGATGACATGAATCAGTTTAACTGGAACCACCACTGTTTTTTGTAGTTCTTGTAAGTCTTGAAGGCCTTCTCCTTTTCCCAGTAGTGCAGCTGTTCCACCTCCTTTTTTGTCTCCAATTACCTACGTTTAGAGTAGGAGATAATTAACAATTATTCCATTAGCGCGCGTTGGATATGAGATTGGTAAATAGCCAACGGGGCCCTTAGGGCCGAGTTGGCTATAACCAATCTCATATCCAACAAGCCCGAATGGAATAATTGTTTTATTAAATTCGGTGCGTTTGTATACTTGGAAATTATAGCTAAATTTTCTTGGATTTTCATTTTACTAAGCGGCCGGAAGTCGATGTGGCAAAAGCAATAAGCGGGAAATCACATGACATGCGCGCCGTTTGTAAATTTAGTTAAATGAAAAATTTGAAACAGAACGTGAAAAGGTGTAAATCTAAAATTATCCTTTTAATTTACACCTTTTCACGTTCTGTCGTTATTATTTGTCTTAATTAGCATTTTTGCCTACTTATTATTCAACTTGCTTTGTAATCATTCATTCAACTGAAGATGACAGAAGTTCTGTCGAAACATGT